ACCTAGCCAGCCAGCTAGCTAGCTAGCTAGCTAGCCAGAAGAATTGCATTTGCGGTGCTGTGTAGATCTACCCCTTGCGCCGTAGTCCTCTAAGACGGATGTGTCCTTGCGGGACTGAGCAAAGACAGCAGCAGCAAAACAGGCTGTGAGCAGCAGCAGCAGCAGCAGCAGCGCTAAAAGCAGCAGCAGCAGCAGCAGCAACGGCAGCAGGAAGAGCAGCAGCAGTAGCAGCAACGGGTGGCGAAAGAAGAACTGCCTTCCTTCAGCGGAGAGAACAGCAGCCCCCAGGCGTCCTAGGGTTTAGGGTTTAGGGTTTGACTCCTCACTCCTGCGGCAAAGAAATGCACAGTAAAGCAAATCGAAGGAATGTGGGTGCGGCCCTTGTAGGATTTGAGGTGGCTAAACCCTAAACTCTAAACCGTAGACCCTAAACCCTAAACCCTAAACCCCAAACCCTAAACCCTAAAACCCCAGCGAACGTGGTTTGATTTGACTCACTCTGAACTCCTTGAGTCCTCTCCACTCTGAGACACAACACATAAACCCATCTTAAACCCTAAACCCTAAACCCTAAACCCTAAACCCAGAATCATAAGCCCTATGGGGTGAAGCACTACTGCCTGCGCAACGTCCCAGCTGCGGCCACCATTTCTGCTGCTGCTGCTGCTGCTGCTGCTGCTGCTGCTACTGTTGCTGCTAAATTTTGCTCTGTCCTAGAGTCCTTCCGAAGACATCGGCTGCTTCTGCTGCAACTTATACTACAACGCTCCAACTGCTGCTGAGACTGGCGCTGCTGCTGCTGCTGCTGCTGCCGCTGCTGCGCCTGCTGCTGCGGCTTCTGCTGCTAATGCTGCTGCTGCTGCTTACTCTAGGGGGAGCGAAGCTCCTCTGCGGGCTCTTCTGTCGCTTGCGTCTTCAGCGCTGGGGGGGTTGAGGCTGCTGCTGCTGCCGCCGCCGATGGATCTGCTGCGCTCCCTCATCGGCTTCTCATCCTGCAGCAGGTCCCCTTCTGCTGCTGCTGCTGAGGGGCCCCAGAGCAGCAGCAGCAGCAGGGATGACCCAGCTAGCCACGCCAGGCGAGGTGCCCGGCCCCAGGGAGAGGTCTTGGTGAGCGCCATCGCTGCTGCTGCTGCTGCTGCTGCTGCTGCTGCTGCCGCCGCTGCTGCTGCTGCTGCTGCTTCTGCTGCTGCTGCTGAGAAGACGAGCCGATCTCAGGGAAAGCGGCCCCTCGTGTTGTTGTTGCTGCTGCTGCTGCTGCTCCGAAAATTTGAAATGTAAAAATGGAGAAGCAGAAAAAGACAACGCAAGACAGCTCACGGGCAACACCGAGTCACCGGGAGCGAGACGGCTGCTGCCGCTGCTGCTGCTGCTGCTGCTGCTGTTTGAAAAAAAGAAAAAAAGATCTGTTTGAAAAATCAAAAACAGACAAGAGGGCGAACAAAAAAGCAATCCAGTGGCCGGGGAGCTGGAGCAGCACCAGCAGCAGCAGCAGGAGCAGCGGGAAGCAGCAGCAGCACGAGCAGCACCGCTGCGGCGAGCGCTAGCCAGAACACGGCCTCTGTCTGCCTGGGGTTGAGGCTGCTGCCTGCTGCAGCAAAACTTCAAATTAATTAATTAATTAATTTTGAATATATTTTTTGAATGTAAAACCACTTTTTATTCTTTTTAAACTTTTCTTAAAGCAAAACTCCCGAAGAAGCAGCACAGGGCATTAGAAGGTCACTGGGAGCAGCCTCGGACCTACTGCTCCCGTTGCTTCTGCTTCTGCTGCAGCTGCTGCTCCTTTCACCGCAGCAGCAGCCGACTCACTAGCAGCAGCAGCTGCAACTGCTGCTTCACCGAGCAATAGCAGCGGCTGCTGCAGTGAATCAGCAGCAGCAGCAGCAAAAGCAGCAGCATCTGCTGCTGCTCCCGCTGGAGGGCTTGTCTTGGCCTCCACGATAAAAGCCTCCTCAGCTTTTGATTCACCGCTGCACTGTTCGCAGCAGCAGCAGCAGAAGCAGCAGCAGTAGCAGCAGCAGCAGCAGAAGCAGACGCAGCCCTTCGGGGCCGTTCCCGGTGTCTGTACACCTGAAGCCCTTGCTGCAGGGGCTTTGGGGGCCCCTCCCATGGCTTTTAAGGCCAAGAGCATTATTGGGGGCCCCCAGGGTACTCCAAGGGGGCCCCCAGGTCTTTTTTTAGACCTTTATGGGGGCCCCCCTGTCTAAGTGCCCAAGAGGGGCAAAATAGAGCCCTTGTGGAATACACACAGGGGACCCCAGTGGGGCCCCCAGGGCCCCCCCAGGGGGCCCCCAGTGGGGCCCTAAGGGGCCCCTAGTGAGGCTCCAGGGGGCCCCCCTGGGGTCTCCCAAGGGGGGCCCCTAGCGGGGGACCCTGGAGGCCCCTGCAGGGGGCCCTTATCATTGAGCTGTAGATACACCTCAGCTAGCCAGAAGAGGCCCCTGAAAAGCCTCGAGGAAGAAAAGGGCTGTTGCATGCGAATAGTTTGTTTGGGGCTTTTTGCATGCACTAAAGCGCACCAAAAAAGCGGAGTTTTGCAAAAAAAGAATGAATATAAATGGAAATAAAAATGCAAATTTAAAAGGGAAGAAGACATTCTTTCTTGCTGCATCTTTTTCACATTTTTCCAGCTGTTTTGGAACTTTTATTTTTGTTTTATTTCAGCACAAGTTTGCGCATGCATGCGGTGTATCGAGGTGTACGTACACCCGAAGTGCGCAGCGCGGCACGAGGAAGTTGAAGAGTTGAAAATGAAAAACATATTTATAAATTAATAAGTAATTATAAATAAATAATATTTGTTGTAAATAGATTGTATTTATGTTTGCAAATATACGCAATGAAGCTGCTTGTATGTCTATGCATAAATACGCTTATACAATAAATGAATAAAAAATGAAAATATTTCTAAACTTATGTTTCCCAATAATTAATTCCTTTTAGTTCAAAACAATTATAGACATTCCAAAACAAATGCGCCTCAAAAAGAGGCCCCTAGAGGGGCCCCTAGAGGGTCCAATAAAGGGGCCCCCAGAGGGGCCCCCAGAGGGCTCCCCTGAGGGGCCCCTAGATAGAGGACCCTAGGGGGCCCCTAGCGGGGCCCCCCGGGTCTTCTTGGGGCCCCTCTTGGGGGCCCTTACCAACGCAAAAGGCCCTATTGGGGGCCCCCTTGTTATTTTAGGGCCTTTATTTGGGTGCACACCTCCACATACGAGCCTCAAAGGGCCCCCAAGGGGCCCCCCTGAGGCCCCAAAGGCTTTTAGGGGGCCCCTAGGAGGCCCTAGGAGCGCCTGGGGGCCCCTGGGGCCCCCTGGGGGCCCCCTAGAGGCTTTTGGGTACTCCTAATAGGGGGCCCTTCTGGGTTTTGCCATTTTCATTTGCTCAAGAGATATTTTGCCTCTGTGGGGCCCCGCAGAGGCCAAAAGGGCCTTTTGAATAAAATCTGAGGCATCTTTGTGGGCCCCGCGCTCAAGGGCCCCCTTTAGGGGGCTCCCAGGGGGCCCCCCAGGGGGTCCTCCGGGGGGCCCCCCTTGGGGGCCCCCAGGGGGCCCCGAAAGGCGCTTCTGCAGCAGCCGGTAAATGCTGCGGCTTTTGGGATCTGCAGAAAAAATTAAAAAAAGAAAACAATATAAAATTAGAAAAATAATGAAATAAGA